GATTTTGGGGGTTTGGGGAGGATTGTGGGGGGTTTCAGGGAAGGTTTGGGGAGAGTTTTGGGGGCTGTGGGGAGTACTTTAAGGGCGTTTCAGGAGGATTTTTGGAGGAGTCTCAGGATGATTTTTTGGGAAGGCTTGGGGAGGATTTTAGGGGAGTTTGGAGAGGATTTGGGGGGTTCAGGAGGATTTTGGGGTGAGTTGAGGGGGTTTAAGGGTTTTTTGGGAGGATTTTAGGAGGGCTTGGGGAGGATTTTGGGGGGTTGGTGAGGATTTAGGGAGAGTTCAGGATTCAGGGGGCTTTGGCAAGGATTTTGGGGGGTTCAGGAGCTTTGGGGAGGATGTGGGGGAGTTTGGAGAGGATTTGGGGGGGTTCAGGAGGATTTTGGGGTGAGATGAAGGGGCTTGGCGAGGATTTTAGGAGGGGTTGGGGAGGATTTAGGGGAGGGTTTCAGGCTTCAAGGGGCTTTGGCAAAAATTTTGGGGGGTTTCAGAAGGATTTGGGGAGGTTTGAGGAGGATGTGGGGGACTTTGGAGATGATTTGGGGTGGAGCATGGGAGGACTTTGGAGGGGGTTGGGGAGGATTTAAGGGGGTTTGGAGATGATTGGGGGTGGAGCATGGGAGGACGTTGGAGGGGGTTGGGGAGGATTTAAGGGGGTTTCAGGAAGATTTTGGGGAGGAGTTGAGGGGTTTCAGAAGGATTTTTGGGGACGTTATGGGAAACGTTTTAAGGGGGCTCTGGAGGGGAGGTTCAGGAGGATCCTGGGGGTCCTGGGGTGTTTGCAGACCCGCGGGCGCGGGGGCAAGCGAGGACCCCCCCTCATTTCCGCAGCGCGGCTGGAGCAGCAGTGGCAGCGTAATCCTGGGATTAATTCTGTGTAATCCCGGCTTGAACCACGCTCCCCCCTTCTCCCCATTAATCCCCACTCGTGGGGGGGGACCCCATCTGCTCCCCACGACCCCCTCACCTGGGGCACCACGAGCCCCCTGCGCCGGGTTCTACACCCCCAAATGAGTCAAGGTTTGGGGTCTTAGGGACCCGCAGAATATTGGGGTCACTTC